ATAATAATATCAGCCTTGAAATCCAACGGAGAATCACTCTTGCCAACAAGTGCTACTTTGGGCTGAGTAGGCAATTGAGAAGTAAAGTCCTCTCTCGTCGTAAAAGGATCACACTCTATGGCGCGGAGGCATGGACAATGAAAGCATCTGATGAGGCGGCTCTTGGAGTTTTCGAGAGAAAGATTCTGCGAAAGATTTACGGACCTTTACGCCTTGGTGATGGCGACTATCGCAGACGATTTAACGATGAGCTGTATGATCTTTACAACGATATAGACATAGTGCAGCGAATTAAAATTCAGCGGCTCCGCTGGCTTGTCCATGTCGTTCGAATGGACAGAAACGCTCCTGCTCTGAAAATATTCAACGCGGGCCGTGATGCTGGTAACAGAGGAAGAGGGAGGTCTCCTCTGCGTTGGAAAGACCAGGTGAAGAAGGACTTGGCTTCACTTGGCATTTCCAATTGGCGTCAGTTAGCACAGAAGAGAAATGACTGGCGTGCTGTTTTGGACTCGGCCAAAATAGATTAGGCGGTTAAAGCGCCAATAAAGAAAGAAGAAGACGCAAGCCGGGAGATCGTGACTACCTGACAATATGTCATCGACATAAGTTACTTTTGTTAAGATTCAATTGGCCCAGGGATGAGTGTCTTTTGAGTCATTTACCAACTGGTGCAAAGTCCGAATGGAGCGCAATTAACTTCAAAGGTAACGGTCTTGAGTGCAAAATCGGTTCACTTGGTTTCATTTTTTTTTGCGGAAGATAATTCGCTGGTAATGTTGATCGTCTGCGTGCAAGAGAATTTGACAATACATTTTTTGTATGTCAATTAAAGACATGTTTATACAGACGCCAATTTAGAATGACAGACATGAGGTCTGTTTGTAGAGTAGGTCCAATGTGACGTATGTCGTTAAGAGACGTACCAGATGCCGGTTTTGAGGCATTAAATACCAAACGGGCGTTTGTGGATTTACTGTCTGGTTTAACTACTAAGTGGTGGGGTAGATCATATGAAAAGAACTTTCCATTTTGACCAATTTCTTCGGGAGTGATGACTTTCACGTGGTCGAGATGTAGATATTCGTCTAATACACGATTCTCGGGTGGACTCGGGTTCTTACTGAGCATATGCTCCATTCTAAGCGCCTGCTTCATTGCTTGAGCCCGAGATGGACCCAGAGTGAGATTTGAGGAGAAATCTGATTTAAATGGTAGCCGGACTACGTAGCGTCCATCGCTCTGCCCATAAGTTTTGTTCCTGATAGACTTTTTCGCAAAATTGGGCTTCAGCGGAAGGTGGATGGGGCTCTGATATCTCTTCTAACTCCCAGAAGCGTTTAAGTTGGGAATCAATACTTTCGTTTGGGTCTGCTACCACGTGCGTATGGTAAGCGAAGCATGAATTCGGTTTTAATGGACCACTCAAATACCAGCCGAAAATTGTATTTTACGCGAGAAGGTTTCCCAGGACCTGATGTTTGATGCCTTGAAGGAGTATTTCTGGTATTAGGTCACTACCTATTACCATATCGATTGGACCGTGAGTGTAGAAATATGGATCAGCAAGGTCTAGATCCTTGATTTCTACGAGATTCGGTTTTTTTTTTTGTCAAATGTTAAAAGAAAACTTGTTAGTTTTTGAAGAACAATCGCTCGGGAGTTGAGGCGAATGTTGCATCTTTGGAAACAAGGGTAATGTGGCAGACACGGTTGGAATTTTCCACTATCTTGCCACCCATTCCAGTTACAGAAAGGTTTTCTCTGTGTGTAAGTATTTGTAACCGTTTTTGTACTTTCTCAGAAATGAAAGTTTTTTTGCGAGCCTTGATCAATGAGCACGCGTAGGGAAAAGAGGGTACCCAAGTGATCAATGTGAACTAATGCTGTTGGAAGTAGCGTGCTCTCATGGTTGGTAGAGAAGTTCACTTGGATATGGGGATGGCATTTCCCAGCGAGACTGGAGGTCTTGCATCTTTACTTCAAGTACAGAGTCAGTCTGTTCTTCTTCACTTGGATATGGGGATTACTGTCTGCTGAGGACGTAGGAGATTCCTCGGAGTTGCCTTCAGTAATGTCGAGTATTGGATGCCTGGACTTACTTGAGAGTGCAGCAGTTTGGGTGTGCAACAATGGGCTTGGATTTGTGGATGATGATGTTGCAGATGGATTCCTGACGGGTGCCTTGGAGTCTGGCTTATGATTGGATTGATATGGATGTAACATTGTCTGGTGAGATCTTTTACAATGTAGACATCTGAACAAACTTTGGCAATCTGCCAGAGTATGATTGTATGCTAAACAATTGGTACAATACTTATTTTGCTCCACAAACCTGGTGCTTTCGAGAACTTTAAGTTTCTTAAATTCGGGGAAAAATATCAGGCATAGGTTTGCATGTGAACGAGAGGTGTTCATTGGAGTGGTACGATTGAACCTTTTGAGGCGTTTTGTGTGGGAGTGAACTACGGCATTTCGTGGCGTTATGATTGTGCAGACGTTCTACCACTTCATACCTACTGGTAAGAAATTCATCCATCTGTGACCATTTGGGTAAGTCTTTTCTGGATTTCAGCGACTGCTCCCATAGAGAAAGAGTTTCCTCTGGGAGTTTGGTAGAGCAAATATATATAAGTATAGGATCCCAGTTGGCTGTGGAAACTCCTTGAGAATTTAAACACGAAAGGCAATCATTGATCGTGTTTTGAACTTTCTGAATACCTTCGCTGTTTTCGGATGAAACCGAAGAAATTTTGTTTGTTTTCGAATCGGGCCCTTAGAGCTTCCCAGGCGAGAGAAAAATTTTCATCGCATAATTTGTAGTGTTTGACTATGGCAACCGCTTTCCCCCGGGTTTTATTTCGCAAGTGGTATAGTTTTTGCGCAGGTGTGAGCTTGGGATCGTTAAGGTATACGGCCGTGAACATATCCCGAAAGGATGGCCCATCTTCATAGCTACCATAAAATATTAGGGTGTTGCACGGGGTACCTTTATACAAGGTCTCGAATTATCGATGAGAGAAGTAGATTGACGGGATGTGCCATGGGTGTCACTTGAGCTGCCCTGGGAAACCTTCATTTGGTCTAAGATATGAGACTTGCATATATAATAACCGTCCGCGCACATTTAAAATTTAGTGTGCGCTTTTTCCTTGAATTTGGAAGAAATCGATCTGTCATCGGCGATACAGACTTTTTCGTATGAAAGTCTCAGCATTTCCCAGCGAGACTGGAGGTCTTGCATCTTTACATCAAGTACAGAATCAGTCTGTTCTTCTGGATCTTCTTTGTCGAAGTGAGAGCAGAAATTCACTACATTGTTGGAATCGAAGATGAACTTCGCCATTAATGCGGAAGCGACTGGCATGTTTGGATAAGAATGAACTTTTAATGTTGGGAATAGAAAAAAGTTACGCCCTTAAATTTGGATAAACAGCAAGAGCACGAAAGGAATGGCCTCAAGTGATAAGAGGTTTCACTTAAGCGCAAAGACTTTGTAGGCCAATGCAATTGCGATAATAGGTCATTTATAGTTCAGCTCTTGGCTTGGAAGATTTTGGGAAAAAATTTCCTTTGCTTATTTACCAGCCAAAAAATTTAGCGAAAACTATTGAACGAAGCTTAATACCAGACGTCTTATCTACGGGTGATATGTATATCACAATTGGAAAAGCTTCGTTTAGAAATAATTGTAATTTTGTATGATAATTAAATTTGCTCTTAGCAGAAACAAGTGCTGAATAAATTCAAAGTATATTTGAGGTTAACGAAAAGTATTGAATTCGATTTAAATTTGGGATAAAAACCGAAAATTGTATGCACCTTAATAGTATTGACTGATATCGTACGGAGTAAGTCAGGATGTACTATTTTTTCCTACTGGGAAAATCCGTTGCTGTTTTGCTACTGGGCAAACGCACTATTCGCGTTAGCTAAACTCCGTTTTGCTTAGACCCCTTTTAGACACGTCAAGTCTTGCTTTAAAGTCTGCTCGGTTCGCAGGCGACAGAGGTAAAAAGAGAGAGGAATAGTACATTCATCTCACCTCCTTCACCAACGAACGGGCAGACTTGAAATCAAGACTTAACGTGTCTGAAAGGGGTCTTAGCAACTTGATACATACATGCACACAAATTCTAATAACAATTTAAAAAAACTGTTTGGTTGAACGCCAACACAAACTAAACTTCACTGATGTACACATACAAGTGTTTGTATGTACTACAAATATACGCACACCAACTATTGATTAAACTTTATGTAAACCGGTAGAAGCCGTGTATTTTAGGCCACCAAAAACTTAGTCAGTTCGGTTCAGATAGGAGACGAAAACCGAAAATTGTAATCACTTTTTACATAAATACCATTTATACAACGTTCGGAGTAAATTCGTTGTCGTTTGGCTACTGAGTACATGCACTTTGCTCGTTAACTAAATTTCATTTTGCTGCGCAAATTGATACATACATACAGATTCTAATAAGAAACTGGAACGAGTGAAAAATCTTTCCAGCTGAGCGCCGAAGCAAACGTTTTATTTAACCGAGTACATAGGTATATATGTACGCATGTGTGTGCAACACTCAAAGTGAAAAACCGATACGCTGTAATTGCTATAGTTGCCGGCGCGGGTAGCGCAGAAACATAGGCACAAATATTTTGAGGGTTGATACGAAATACTTAGAGTAAACACGAAATGAAATGGAATTGAATGCATATGTATGTGCATTAACATATGTACACAGTAGTGGGATTCACTAACTTTTAACAACGCGACTTGTCGAGTTGTAAACTAGCAATTTTTGTTGTTTGCAGTAACGACTGTGTGATTCACTAACGTATCTTTAACAACACTAAACAGCTGACTTTTGGTATTTATTTAAATTGATAGAAAGTGGCATCTCTGAAAATTAAACGTCAAATATACGAAAAACGCAAAGAGGATTGCAAAAAAAACATTGCAATTCCCGCCTAGTTCGAATGCAAATTTATGAAAATAAATGAAGTAAGTATATTTAATTATTATTTAAATGTAGATAATTTACATTTGTATATTTTCAGCATGTCCTCAACGAGCAAAGCAGCATCTAGAAGAAGCCGCGCCTCAACCGAGCAACTCAGCGGAATGGTGGACTTTTTCCTAGAGAACCCGGGACTGGCTGCCGGAAAGTTTCAGCGGCTCCATGGGAAGTTGGAGCATGAGAAAAAGTGGGAGGAGATGGCGACCAAGTTAAACGCTATGGGAGGAGCGCAGAAGTCTGCTGATCAATGGCGCACGGTAAGTAGTAATCAATTTGTCATTAATACAAGGAGCGGTGCGTGCGAGTTGAGTTGGACAAAGCTCCACTTTTTGTGTATACGTACATTAGCACGTAGATTGACGTTTTTACGCATTCTATATGTTAAATAGTGCCAGTAAATATCTATTCCAATAAGGTAAAATATCTAAGTTAGACAATGACTTTGATATAGTGCACCATTACTGTTATAAGTTAAAATCCATCGAAGTTTTTTGTTTAGATTTGACGGGTATATTCGAAAAGGGGATGAAATTTTCCTAGTGTTTATAGGTTAACGCTACCATTGGCAAGCATACGCAAGAAATGATACATTACACTAAAGTCAAGAAACAACTTTAGCAGTTTTTCCTTATTGGCAGATACTAAATACATATGTAATACGTATGTATCCACATTAATTGATAACACTAATGTATGTATATCTTTTTTACTTAAAGGTATGGCGTGATTTAAAAAGTCGCACCAGTAATCGGGTGCGCGATCGCAAGAGACAGCAGGCCATAACCGGAAACAGGCCCATCAACCAGGTTCCACAAACAGAGCTGGAGCAGCGTGTGGTTGCTATTATTGGCAGCCACTATATAGAGGGCCATCAATCCGTGGCAGAAAATGTGCCAATGGAAGATGTAAGTTTTTATTAAGCTATTTCAAACTTATAACTAACTAGCTTATACCCGCGAGTTTCACCCCGCGCTTTTATACAAATAGGAAAAATAATTTAATGATGTTAGATTTTATTTCTGTGCCCGTTTCGTTATAGCTCGTTATTTTTTAAGCGAGTTAAGGTATTAAGGCCGTTTAAAGCTATGAAATTATAAAATCTTGTCTGCGCGCTAGGCATACGAAATATATCAATCCCTCTAAGCTTACCTTAAAATGTTTCCAGGTATACGACGCGTGAACGTGAAACCTTCTTGGAGGTGCCACGGCGAGTTCTAATATTTCCAACTCAAATTTAGTAACCTGGCCTTGATAAAATACCACTTCTCATTACTGTAGCTAATGCCTCAAGAGAGCTTTAGATTATAAGGTCGAACCCGGCTCCCCCTTTTCCATTTAATGAAATTAGTTCTGTCTTCCACAAACACCTCCAGGGATATGTGGCAAGAAAAAGTAAATTTGTACTGGAAGTGCCAGGCCCCTTTTTCTTATAACCCTTATCTTCTTCCATGAATTTAGAATTGATTTTACATAACCCAGTACCAAGTCCCAGTACTCCACCACGAACACCTCTAGAGATAAGCAGTATAAAACAGTAAATTTGTACGGCAGGAACCATGTCCCCTTTTCGAATAACGCAAATCCTTCTCTATGAGTGCCAAGTTCCAGTCCTCTGCAATAAACACCTCCAGAGATAAGCAGCATAGAAAAATCAATTTGCATGGGAATTGCCACTCCACCTCTTCCAATAACTCTAATTTTTCTCCATGAGTATGGTATTAGTTTCACATATGTACATACATACATATGTATTTCCATACCAAGCTTGAGTGCTTTACCCCAAACATTTGAAGAGATATGCAATATGAAACTTTCAGTCAGTATGGGAGGTGCTACGCCTCTTTACCAAAAACGTCCACTTTTCTCCGTGAATATGAACATGATTTCACACAGTGTTGGCAAACTGTTAATCTGATTAACGATTAAAAATTAACGATTAAAATGTTAATCGCGTTTGACGATTAAAATTAAGTAGTCGTAATCAACTGTACGATTAATGATAACATTTTTTCAATCGTTAATCTCTGGCTGCGATTACGTTTAATTAATTTAACACATTAATCGTTAATCCAATTAAAAATAAAATCTGATTAATTTGTCTAGTTTGTCCGAGTTTGAAACCAAACACCAGTTATAGTAATTATTTTGTGTTTTACGCTTATAAAAAGCACGTAATATAAAAAAATAATAATTATTGTTATTAGTAATACATAAACTGGGAACTTTTACAAACCTAGTTTGAAAACGTTGGTTGGTATATATCTTAATGAAAATGCACACCAAATTGCTTAGATTGATGAGGAAACTCGACTTAGCCATACCGGATTAACTTGCTTTGTGTGCACAGGGAAATTCCAGCATAACTTAATTAATCACCAAACCTACTTGATCAAATTAAGAGTAAATGATTAAAAATTAATTTTTTATTCGCGGTTACGATTAACTGTTTAGTCGGATTAAAATTAATCATGTTTAACTGTAATCAGATTGAATTTAATCGAATTAACTAAAGAGCGAAATACACCACACAAGCGGCTTGTCAAACATTCTTCAAACCTACTTTTCCCATTTCGCCATACACCATGCAAACATGACTCGTTCAAGCAAAGAATTTTAGTTTTCTTCCAGTTCGCAATGCTAAATATTATGGTTTTCTTTCATTTTCCTCTCTTACGTCCTTACTCGGTGAAAATTTCGTTGCGAATGAGGCGATTTTGCTATACACAACGCAAGCGGTTTGATCAAACATCAACATGGCGGCCAGAAAATCAAAAAATTTTAATTTTTTGCTCAAATTTCCCTCAAGCGGCTTGTCAAACCTTCAAACACCCCATACACAGCACAAATGGCTTGAAGCAAAGGGAAATTTCGCTTGGTTTGTCAAACCGCTTGTGTGGTGTATTTCGCTCTTAACTAAATAAAACATCAATCGATTAATGCCAACATTAATTTCACATACATATCACTATACCAAGTTTCAGTTCTCTCCCACAAATACTTCCAGAGATATCCTTCCGAAATCCGTAGTAAGTGTACTAAATTTTGTTCTGATCGGAAAGCCGGTTAAGGAAGTAGCCTATTTTTCAATCCAGGTCATAAACCATCCTTGAGCATAATTACGTTTTCAAACAGGTGGCATTTCTTAAAAAAGTTGCCTATTTTCCAGTCTAGGTCATAAGCTATCTGTGTGCAAACTTTCATACAAATCAGTTCAGTCATTTCCACGTATTAATTTAATTGAACTTTCCTAACGTGATAACTCTTAAAATAGTAGCCTGTTTTCCAACATTGGTCATAAGCTATCTCTGTGCGAAATGTCATGCAAATCTGTTCAGTCGTTTCCGCGTATTAATTTAGTTAAACCCTTTTTAACAGATGGCAACTCTTCCAAAAAATTAGCCTATTTTCCACTGTAGGTCATAAGCCTATCTGCTTGCAAAATTTGATGCAAATCCGTTCAGACTTTTCCGCGTATTAATTTAATTAAACTTTTTTAGCAGGTGGTAAAAAAGTAGCCTATTTTTCAACCTAGCTCATAAGCAGGGAACGGATTTCATGGAAATTGCCTTTTTTTCTGCTAAAGAGATAGAGTATATTCGATT